GACGACAAGGTAGTGTGATTTGGGAGGTGTTTTGCATGCCCTGAAAGTCTTGTCTACCTTGTCACCCATTGCCAGTCGTTGAAGGCCGAAACTGCAGATCGGTCCGGGAGAACCTTTTCTTAAAGCAGGAATAAATGAAGTGTCCTAATAACGTGGGGCCTACACATAGCACTATGGTGAAAACTCTGATATCAGTCTTCGCATCACTTTAAGCGATCTAGACTGACTAGGATCCTGTTAAAAATGAATCAGTTCAGCGTAATAGTCTTGCGCAAACCATGCGCATCCATTTGTGCCATTCGTATCACGAATGCATGAATTTTACTTGATGTCAGGCTAACTGCTTGTTCTGCATATCGCGTGACCTCTCAATGGGGAGGGGGACTACAATTGTCAAGACCTCTAGTATGCAACCTCAAAGGGGATGTGATAAAACCATCTGTTTTTCTTGCGGCAAGAAGTCCACCTATGCACAATCGAGTTGAGTGGGAGAAAAATCTGTTTTGAAAAATAAAGCGAGTAATTTGAAAGAAGCTAGCAACGGTTGTAGATGTAAGATTCATGTTCCTTTTGGGATGCATGAGGGGCTGGCGGCTGGGCAATCATCAGAGATTTGGATTGGATAATGTCAGCTGGAGAAGGAAGGTTGGACAGTGAACCGAAGAGGTGGACAGCAGAAGCCTGTCACACCGGAGAGGCTGGGTTGCGATGTCTACTTGGTTGGTATGCCTCTGTCCTCCGGCCAATTTGGCGGTGCCAAGTTGGCCCAGGTTATTTGCGAGCGGAGCCTGATGGACGAAGATAGAGGAGCGTCTGCAAGTTCGCTTCAGTGACTCCTTCGGCGGCTCTGACAGTCGCTATGTTAGTGAAAGTGCCATCAAAGGGTACCTCACAACCGTGAGCATCAACTGTCTCCGAAAAATATCGACGAAATTCCGAAAAGGCGGCAACACATGCATGAGCGGAGCGAGATAGTGCGGCCAGCTGATAACGGGGCAAGCAGACCTGACAATGGATGGTCGGCCATTTCTATACGCTCCATGAGAGCACAGAGGATTGAGAAACGAGTGATGGAGAGGTGGGAAGATTTCGAGAG